GTTAAAGGAAATTCTAAGGTTGTAAGAAATGCAAACTTTTCCTACCAAATGAAACTTGGAACTGCAAAAGTAAGTGAAGAGTGCTAGAGTGGGACTGAGACACAGTGATGAGGAACACTCAGAAAATGAAGCATCATAGCAGTAGTAGAGCGGGAAAGTCTTATGCAGTTTAACAAGGATGTTTTTTGTAAGTTAAATGTACATAAACATATACAAATATGTATGTCTTTATATATAATATTCTATAGGTTGTTCTATCAAACACACAATTCTTTAAATTTTTTCTTTGATATGTTTAGTTTAATTCAAAATTCAAGTATTATTTTAGCAATAGAAGCTTTTTTCAAAGAAAATCTCATTCAGAAAGCCAATATATAACACATAAAAGTAAAATTATTTCTTTGTCATGTGGAAGCAGAAACTCCACTAACAGCCTTTCTCCTTCTGTTCAAAAAGTTCCCTGAAGTTTTCTGAGACACGTAGGCTCCTCAGGTCACACAGTGTGAAAACTATTTAATCAATCAGTAGTGCTAGCTTTAAAGAATCTTTATTTTATCAAATTGCTACTGTTTGTGTAATATAAGACCTTCAAAAGCAAATGAAATAATTGATAAAGCAATGTATAATAAAGGAAAGGAATTGTTTTTGTAATGCCAATTGAGTATTCCTTACTTGATTCCTAACCAACTTGATTGGTTTTCAAAGTTCACTAAACTAAAAGGTCTCTTAATTCAGCCAGGTTGGTTACATTAGAAATACTAGTGAACCACTAAAAACATTATGAACAATACAATGTAAATAGAAAGAACTTATAAACTACTGAATCAAAAGAATGAGAAACTAGGCCTTGAAATTAACTCCTAGTAGGTTAACCAATAATCCATATTTTCTTCAAGTAATTGTGTCTCTACTTGTCAGAAAGATTAAAAATGAACACTTCCCTCACTTTCATAAACTTTTTATGTAACATCAAATGTTTAGGCACATAATTTTCAAAAAATTCATATTGTATGTTTGCATTTAAAGTTATTTTTCATAAATTTTAAACATTGTGTATGCACTCTAAGTTATTGTCAGGAAGGCCCTCTAACTTTTGTGTAACTGCTACTGAATGTTAACATAGAGCGTTTATATGGTATAGTTAGTTCACCAACTCTCTTTAAAGGAATAAGAGCAATGGCCATCCATCGAAACCCAAAGATAGAACTAAAAATTCTTCTCTTAATATAGTGATGGAAAAATGAAATATACAGTAGTGAAAATATACCTAGAACTTTGAGACAACCCAAGTTCGAAATTAAAAAAAATATTCTTATTATTACTGCTCTGTACAATGAGTCATATACTTGTTACTATGTGGTGGCATACTACCTTTCCATGTCACTTTGTTTAAAAATAACTGAGAGTCATTCATTATTTGTCTTGAATAAAAATAAGAACTGGATTTGAGATATTGCAGGAGTGTATGTAAGTACAATATTTTTCTTTTTGAAAGGAAGATAACATGCAACTTTCCCACTCCTATAATTTAATATAGGTGACCTTGTATAATTTCTTATCTTTAATGAACCTATTTTATGTTGTTATATTATAACTTGTCATATCAATTATGCATACTATGTTTTCCTTTTACTTTTAAGAGTCCTATCCAAGAAACCTAACCAGATTATTATAAATTAATCCAATTCAAGGGAAAACTTTTCTCAGCACCACAAATTTTCTAAAAACCATGAGATTGGAGTTTAGTATTCAAATTTAGTATTTCTGGGTACACATTTAACTTTTTACAAACTAAAATTTCCATATTTAAAGTGAAAAAGACATACATGAGATCAAATAACCCATCCTGAATGAGACCACCTGAATTTGATGTCTGAGAGAACTGGAGAGTTGTGAATCTATGAAACCGTGAGAAACAAATTTGAATTTATTCAATTTTAAAGGCTATGGAAATTTTTTCTTGCCATTTTCAAAATCCAAGGTGAATAAATTAATGTTTATATTTTAACCCACAATATATGCATGAGATTGAATCATAGAATTCCAAGAAGTATCCCAATAGAGTAATAATCATAGAATAATTTTTGGAGCATTTTTCATAGCTCTCTGGTAAAGTTGTATTTATTTAAAAAGCTGTAACTTTCTCTGTACTCTTCATTTTAATAAATAATAAGGATCTTCATAAGCACAGAAAATGTATTTTTAAATACGCACACATTATGCCATTGCTGAGCTATGTTACAAAGTTATAACATTTATAAATCATTGCCAGCAAAAGTATTTTTCTGAAACCATTTTATTTTTTGTTTAATTTTTAAATATATTTTATTGATTATGCTATTACAGTTGTCCCATTTTTTTCTCCTCTTTATTTAAAATATACTAATTAAAATGTGATGTTTCAGAAAAGGTAGATGCAAACTTTATTTTTAAATCTAAAAATTAGGTTTATGTTTAACTGATAAAAACTAAATATGAAAATCAAAAAGATTAATAAAGCTTATAAAAACTCTAAGCTAACATCAATGTGTGGTTGCCTCTCTCGTCCCATATACTAGAGACCTAGCATGTTCCTTAGACTGGGAATCAAACCAACAACTCTTCAATTCTCAGGCCAGCACTCAATCCACTGATCCACACCAGCCAGGTCTATAAAAGACACAACAAAAGAGGGGTTGGATCAAGTGTGGGAAATGGGTATGACTGTGGTGGGGGGAGTGGTAAGAGGAAAATGGAGACAACTGTAGTTGAACAAAGATTAAGAAAATGTGAAAAAAAAACTTTACACTACCACTTACAAGTTGATACTTTCCCTTCTGCAGCATATAGAAGCCAAATGTTCTCTTTTTTTCCCCTTGGAATTGACTAACTTCTTTGTAAACTTACTGTGTGAAATATTGTTTTATTTTCTAATTCAGTCATTTTTGACACTTGATGGAATGTTACTTGTTGAGAGGGTTTGTAGTACATTTGAGCATACATAGGAAAAAGGAAGAAAATATTTAAAGGTTATAAACTAAGTTAAAAGATGAAATAAAATATATTCACCCTAAAATTTCTAAACAAGGTTAAGGTCTTATTCTATCACTTGTTTATTGCAATAAACTGCAATATTGCAAAATTGCAATATTGCAGTCAGTAAGAAACCAAATCTTGAGAATGTAAATGGTAAATATTTTTAATTCAGAAATCAAAATAGACAACTTATTTTTCAGTGAATAAGTTCAGTGATTGCCCTAGTCGTAAGTTGGTCCCACTTAGGTTGAAATTATTAATAATATTGAAAGCATAACAGAAACAATACTGCTTATTTCTAACTATTCAGTTCTGAGATGTGCCCCCTTTTAGTTTTTTACATAAATTTAAATATATATAGACACGTATTACTGATGTATTATATTTATAATGAATGGAATAAAAAGTCATATTTATGTTTATCTTTAAGAGGTTATATTCGTTCCTCAAAGCAAATGCTTTCCAATGTCCTTTTTTTCTCTTTTTGCTCTTGGCCGTTTCACAGTCGTTCTGGATACCATGCATTGCCTAGGTTATTCTTAGAAAGGATAGGCCACATGAGTGAACATGAAAGATAGGTAGAATGCATCAGGGCCATAGGATGTCACAAGTATTTGTAGCTTACTCAGTTTTCTTTGAGTCCAGGTAAAGCAATGTTTCTTGATGTTTCTATAGCTATGAATGGAATAAAGTACTAATGTATGAAAGGAAAAGTGCCAGGAACAAAGATAAAAGATGGAAAAGTGTATTAGCTTTTCTCTTCTGTCATTTTTCTTTCTTTTTTTTAATAAAGAAATGTTCTCTTTTTTTAAGATTTTATTTATTTATTTTTAGAGACACAGTAAGGGAGGGAGAAAGAAAGGGAGAGAAACATCAGTATGTGGTTACCTCTCACATGCCCCCTACTGGGGACCTGGCCCACAACCCAGGCATGTGCCCTGACTGGGAATAGAACTGGCAACCCTTTGCTTCACAGTCCAGTGTTCAATCCACTGAGCAACACCAGCCTTCTTTTTCTCTCTCTCTCTCTTTCTTTCTTGTTTTTATTGTTGTTCAAGTACAGTTGTCTCCATTTTCCCCCCACCACTCTCCCTGGCACCACCCATCCCCATGTCCCACCATCAATCCTAACCTCCTCTAGCATTGTACATGGGTCCTTTATACATGTCCCTTGAAGACCCTCCCATCTTTCTCCCCTATTACCCCTCTCCCCACTCCCCTCTGATTACTGTCAGTTTGTTGTTTATTTCAATGTCTTGGGTTATATTTTGCTTGCTTGTTTGATTAGATTCCACTTATGTGTGAGATAATATGGTATTTGTCTTTCACTTCCTGGCTTATTTCACTTGTTATAATGCTGTTAATCAACAAAAATTAAGTGCTGGGCAGGCTGTGGAGAAAAGGGAACCCTAGTACATTTTTGATGGGAATGAAGACTGGTGCAGCCACTGTGGAAAACAGTATGGAGTTTCCTCAAAAAACTAAAAATGGAACTGCCTTTTGACCCAGCAATTCCACTGCTAGGATTACATCCTAAAAACACTGAAACACCAATCCAAAAGAACCTATGTACCCCAATGTTTACAGCAGCACAATTTACAATAGCCAAGTGCTAGAAGTAACCTAAGTGCCCATTGGTAAATGAGTAGATCAAAAAACTATGGTACATTTACACAGTAGAATCCTCTATCATTTCTCAATGATAATTCACTATAATAATTAAAACATTTTCTTTAATCATATACAAATAATCATGTATTTCATTTAGTAAGATTATAGACTTCCCATAATTTTTTAATAAGCCACCTTATTCAAAAATTTTGAAAAAATTTTTTCCTACTAATTTTTGAAATTATTTATGAAAAGAGTTGAATTACTTTCTACCAATGTTGAATAAATGAAATCAGCCCTACAATCTGATGCTACGCTCTGATCAGTTTGCAACATGAAGAAAATTGTAAAAATTCTCTCTCCCTCTTTCTTAGATTTCTGGACCAATTGAGAATTTCACTGGCTGCATAGAAGTTGTAGAAGTCAATAATTGGAGGTCTTTCATCCCATCCAAGGCAGCAAAAAAAATTAACGTGGATAATTGCAGGTAAAACACCGCTAATGATTTTTCAAATAATTGTTCAAATAACTATACCAAAAGGTAAAATTTCCACTTGAAATCATCTAATCAGGACTAGACTATATTCCTTTCATTTTGATTTTTCTTCACATTTCCACATTCCAATTTGCTTTCTTGTAGATAATAGAATTTGTAAGCTATATCCCAATTATGTTGGAATATCTATTTACAGTGGGTTTCTTCTTTGTGTTGTATAACAAACATCATATAACAAAAGATCAGTAATTCAGAATTCAAAAACATCATCTATCACAGTGTGTAAATAAAAGCACACTGATAGTCAAGCATGCAGTTATATTGTTCAGGGTGCTACAATGTTTCTTGTTTTGTCTTTTATTAATGTTTTTTTTATTGTTGTTCAAGTATAGTTGTCACCATTTCCCCGCAATCACTGTCCCCCACCCCAGCCATCCTCTCCTCCTACCCTCTATCCTACCCCCTTTGGCTTTGTCCATGTATCCTTTATACATGTTCCTTGATGGCTCTTCCCTCTTTTCCCCCAATTAACTTCCCCCATTTTCCCTCTGGTTACTGTCAGATTGTTCTTTATTTCAATGTCTCTGGTTATACTTTGTTTGCTTCTTTGTTTTGTTGATTAGGTTCCACTTACAGGCGAGATCATATGGTATTTGTTTTTTACCACCTGGCTTATTGGACTTAGCATAATGCTCTCCAGTTCCATCCATGCTGTTGTGAAGGGTAGGAGCACCTTCTTTCTCTTTCTGCTGCATAATATTCCATCATGTAAATGTACCATAGTTTTTTGACCCACTCATTTACTGATGGGCACTTAGGTTGCTTCCAGCACTTGGCTATTTGTAAATTGTGCTGCTTTGAACATTGGGGTGTATAAGTTCTTTTGAATTGGTGATTCAAGATTCTGAGGGTATAATCCCAGCAGTAGTATAGCTGGGTCAAAAAGCAGTTCCATTTTTAGTTTTCTGAGGAAATTCCAAACATTTTTCCCCAGTGACTGCACCAGTCTGCCTTCCCACCAACAGTGTGCTAGTACAGTTCTCTTTTGTCCACAATCTCATCAGCACTTGTTGTTTTTTGATTTGGTTATGATGGCCATCCTAACTGGTGAGAAGTGGTATCTCATTGTGGTTTTAATTTGCATGTCTCTGATGGCTAGTGATGCTGAGCATCCTTTCATAAGTCTCTGGGCTCTCTGTATGCCCTCCTTGGAGAAGTGTCTGTTCAGGTCCTTTGCCCATTTTTTAATAGGGTTGTTTGTCTTCTTGGAGTGGAGTCATGTGAGTTCTTGATATATTTTGGCAATCAAACCCTTGTCTGAGGTATCACTTACAAATATATTTTCCCATATAGTTGGTTTCCTTAATGTTTGTTTCTTTCACTATATCTCTCTCAAAAAGTTGTCCTTGTGCTTGAATTGCCATCTTAGTGACACATTCCTTTCAGATAACCTTTCTTGCCATAGAAATCTCTACATATGTTGAGGGGAAGAGATAATACAGTTAATACAGTATTAGGCATTAATGTATGGTATAAATTGGTTAAAAAACTCTCTAACAGTTAAAGAATGGATCATTTTTAGAACCTTATAATGCATTGGAATATGTTCGCACAAGTTAGATAGGATGCAGTGGTGATGCAGGACAGCATAAAAGCCTGTTTGTCAACAGCAGAAACACATTAATTATTCTACCAAAATTTTTAGAAGTACTGAAATCCTACTGTGCGCTCTGGTCCAACATGAATAAACAGTCACAATATGACCATTATTAAGGAGTTTATAGTGTAGTGGATGAAATGTTTAAATGGATACATGACTATGAAGAGTGCTAAGGAAAAAAACATAGAAGACTATGAGAACTCCACATATTTGAATAAAATTCAGTGGGCTCCTTTATAGTGAAGGGGATAATTGTTTATATTTAATAATTAAAGAAATGCTTTAGAAGGTTAAATAATTCATTTCTGCTTTGTACTGATACATTTAAAATATATTTGTGACACCTATTATACAGTGGCAGGCAGGGTGCTGTTTTAATTTGTTTGTTTGCCTGTGTGTTTTGCTTCAAATCAAATGAAACTTAGTATCTTACATTACATAGTGTTGTAATTTTTTTCTAAATCAAACACCTGTTAAGTCCTTATATTTTACCATTTATTCCTAATTTTTAAAAAGTTTATCTCCATTTTGCTTGATTTTCATTTAGAAGTATTTTATAATAATTATTTAACACTTAGGTTCTTTGTTCCTTAACTTCTCACTTAAATACTGTGATCTGGTAACTGTTATTAATTATAAGTAGTCACTAGGTAGTAAATTTATTAAAATAAATGCAATCCTTTCATACTTTATATATTCATATGCTAATTTAATGATATGATAAACATACATTTTTCTACTAGTATTTTTATAAAAGTGGGACATTTAACTTTTGTTGGTATGGGTAAGTATGAAAGAGAAACAAAGCCTGGAATAGTAGATGTTCAAAGATTTGCTGTGTAAAGTATCTCGTGATTCTGCTGTGTGATTATTCCTTCACACAGATGTTTATTATGAAATTCCTTTTTAGATTTACTATACACAGTGATTCTCAAGGAATTTTGTCTTTGTACTCTCAAAAATTATTGTTGACTGCTAAGAGCTTTTTAGAAAACACTGAATACAGTGTTTTGAGTCTTATTTATCCTTAGAAAATTGAAAAGTCTTAAGTATATTTATTATTTAGTTCTTATAAAATAAAAAGATAAATACATTACATATTAACATAAATAACATAAAATAGAGTATTTTTATGGAAAGAAGCTATACTTAACAAACATAAAAATGATAAAAAAGTACAATGTTTCACATAGTTTGCAAATATTCTTATTGTCTGGCTAAGTAAAGACACCTTAATTCTCATATGTGCATCTGCATTCAATCTGTCCAATTGAACATTTGCAAAATAATTGCTTCGCTGAAGTAGTTGAAGAAATCTGGCTTCACACACATATATTTGGACCTGAAAGGGTTTTTTTTTTTTAAGTAGCCTTTTCAGATAATTGGGAATATTTTTCTTTGATATTATACCAAAACTTGGTAATAATAGATTGCTAAATGTTAGTTGTAATGTGGAATGTGAAAGCTTGATCAATGAAACTTTCACACTCTTAAAACCCATTTTACTTTTTTATATTTTGAATGGCTCTTTTACCCGTGTACAATTTTATACTATAAGTGCAAAATATTTGGCTTATTTTTGAATTATAAAAAATTACTATTAAAACATCAAAAAATCTTATCTCTCTCTTCCTTCTCCTCTCTGTCTAAAAATCAATCAATCAATAAAAAATCTTATCTGTGAATAACCTCTCCAATCTCATCGGAAAAGTTTTTAACTATTGTAAAGCTATCAAACTCACAATAGTGTGTAAGATTTTCCCAAAATTCTAATAGTTGCTCAACAGCTAAAATTTTAACATTGGCAACAATTATCATTAGTTATTTTCTTTGAAGTGATAGGCTCATTTTGTTTTTGAGAAAATATTTACCTAATATCTCAGGTTGCATAGTTTAAATGTTAGTGGTTCTTTCAAGTAAAATTATATTCCACATAAAAAAGCAGCTCGCTGGTCTCACACATCAAATAATCACACAAGTACTTCTCCTTGAGGCAGCGGTCACACTTCAGCATGCAACAGAAGTACTTCATGCATATTTCCTTTTTCATCACACACATTATTTTAAAAAATACATATATTTATAAGTTATAGTTCTAAAAAATAAAAAATTTGCCACTACCTCAAGTACATTCTCAAGTGAAATCAGCACTTTTCAACTATAATGGAGAATACTATACCTGTTATTATAATTGGGTATCAACCATGTGTATCTATATGGAGGCATTAGCAGCTTTATCCACCATTACCCTTGTACCATCAGTGTGAATGTAAACACAGTGAAATAGTCAAATAACATTTTGGTGTCATTATTAAAAATATATATTTTAACCTCACAGACAATCTGAAAGACTATTGGGGATCTTTCAGATAACACTATGAGAACTACTGCTTTCCATTAATTGGGCTCGTGGTTCTCCATTTACCTGGTTAATGAAAAGAACAAAGCTCATCTACATAGATAGTTACTGCCACAGTGGAGGACTGTATGTCGTCAATTTTATTTCAGGGACTGTAGGCTACAATTTTATTAATTATAGAAAGAGATGCTGTCATTGAGATGCCAAACTAAAATTAATACTCGCCCCAGTCTTACATAAAGTAAGATGGATATCCCCACAATTTGTGGATTTCTTGCTTCATGTTTATTGATACATTTTCTTTTTAATTGAAATATTTTATTGTTTATCCTCTGAGTTGTCCCAATTTTCCCCCATTGTCCCCCTCCACCCAGCCCAACCCACACCCCCACAGTCAATCCCCACACTGTTGTCCATGTCCATGGGTCATTCATACATGTTCTTTGACTGATCCCTTCACCATCTTTCAATCAGTCCTGCCTCCCTCCTCCCATCTTTTACAGCTGGCAGTCTGTTCCATGATTCTCTGTATCTGGTTCTGTTTGGCTCATTAGTTTATTTTGTTCATTAGATTCCACTCATACAGTATTTGTCTTTCACCTATTGGATTATTTCACTTAGTGTAATAGTCTCCAGGTCCACCCATGTTGTCACTTTTCCTTTTTTTTTTTTTTTTTTTTACTGCTACATAGTATTTATTCCATTGTGTAAACATTCCACAGCTCTTTTACCCACTCATCTACTGGGGAGTACTTAGGCAGTTTCCAAGGCTTGACTATTGTAAATAGTGCTAAATAGTGCTGCCATGAACATAGGAGTACATATATCATCTTGCATTGATGCTTTGGGATTTAATTGACCAAAGGACTTTTAATGAGTTAATCCCCTATGACATTTATTATACATCTTTTGTTTACCTCAAAGCTTCTAGGAAATAATTTATCTTTTCTATAATATTTTTTAAATTGTACT